CTATTGCACGTAGAAAAAAGACACCCTTCCTCTGAGCCAATGCAGTCCCACAGGAGGGCACAGAGCCCAGCATATAGCATTTGAGCTAGATTTCAACCTCCACTCAGGCTCTGAGCTAGGTAGCCTTGTGAACAGAGGGCACAACTGCACGCAGCCTGTGGTGCAGGTATTTGTACATCCCCATTCGTCGATGAAGCCACTGCAGTGTGGAGACGCTGAGCACCATGTGGTAATGGGATGGTGGGGTCATGTCTAGTTGCCTTTTTATTTAGGGCACACCAAAGAGGCCAGCTCAACCCTTATTGCCCTCCTGCAACCTGTATTACGGACTGCATTCTCTCTGTCACCAGCTCATCCACCTGCTTCAACCTGACCTGTCTTCCACAGAGGGTGCAACCAAATGCCTCTCTAGCCTGGAACCCATAGATTGCCACCAAGCTCTAGTGTTGTCTCTACTACTTTGGTTATCATTTAACACGCTAAGACATGCTATTTTGAAAGAAGGAGGGGGGAAAGGGCACATTTCTGTCCAAGTACTATCCTGACCTGACAATTTTTCTTTTTAAGAATTATTTGGGACTGGCAAGTGGTGTGGTGGTTAAGGGTGCTGGACTCCCACATGACCAACTGTGGTTCAAGTCCTGGACTTGGAGATTTACTCTCTCACTTTCCTTCTCTCTCTCTCTCTCTGTGTGTGTGTGTGTGTGTCTGCGTGTCCCTCTCGGGTCAAATCAACATAAATAAATAATGTTAAAGAATTTTATTTAACATTATTTATTTGTTTATTTTTAATTTGACCTGGGAGGGACAGAGTGAGGGAGGGAGAGAGGGAAAGTGAGAAAGCAAGCGACCAAGTCCGGGACTCAAACCACAGTCAGTCATGTGGGAGTCCAGCTCCCTTAACCACCACGCCCCTGCTGGTTCCAGTACTTGGGAATTTTAAAAGGTCCTTTTAGCAGTTGGTTCAATAACTAGATAGCAAGGACTAAAAGTATTATTGGTTTGAGTGAATTTGTCTACACCTGAAAGACCATTGTTACCAACAGATAGTTCAATATTAGACAAAGCAGATCCAACTTCAGGGTTCTTTTCTCTTTTTCATGTGCCCAGGAGTATTGCGTGGCTGGGTGATGCTAGGGGAGGGTGGATTAACTAAAGGTCCCTACCTCTCATTTCTAGATCCTTCCCTTATTTTCCTAATGAGCAGGGAGCAGCCTCTGCCCGCTGCATTTCATTCAATATTGGGATTTGGACACGTGTCATCTCATTAATGGTGCATGGTGGGGAAGAAGGAATTGTGTGCTGAATCTGCACTGATGTGCGTGTGTCTCTATTGTGAATCCGCATATTATGCAGACGTGTTCAACGACAGATCACTGGGTGCGTTGAGGGATGGCTGGGGGATTGCTTTGTTCACAGAATGCTGGAACTACGTGAGGAGTCCTGCTGGTTGTATCTCTGGTTTCACTTTCTCTAGCTCGTGTCTTGAATGGTGCCATCTCAAAGCATAGTTTAGATTTGAAACAGGTGCAGCAGAGCCTGCCACTGGGAAGGGTGTAAATATCCCTGAGTGGCATGAAGTAAACTGGCACCTACCGAGAGGGAAATTTCCTAAAGCTCGGAACCAACATTTTTCCAGCAACCCTCCTACCTGAGTGAGGCCCAAGGGACAGCAAAGGATGATGAAGAAAAGTGATGGGCTTGGCCTGCACGCCTCCCAAAGTCCAAATGCAGTCAGAGCGAACCGCAGTGATCTGCTCGAGATTAGATGCCCTTAACACCAATTCTTAGACCTCAGAAGTGAGTCTGGCTGCTGGCAGGCAACCCACACTGTCATATTTCATTTTTAGATTTGGCTGTTAATTTTGGCAGTGTGAGTTTGTGTTTTATCAGACTATAGGGCGGAGGAGGATTCCTGGTGGAAAGGCCTGGGTTTTAGCTCTGTGCCTTACAGGCCGGGTGCTCTTGGACAAGCGACTTCACCCTACCGGGAGTCAGCTTTCTCATGGGTACAACGAAGGAAACAGCCCCTGCTGCTCTCGCTGCACAGGGAGGTGCGAAGATCAGATGAAAGGGTGCTCGGGAACTGTGAACGCACTAGACGAATGACCTAATTATGTTTACAGACAGGACGTGAATCCTGTCTGCCTTGTTCGCTCAGTTCTCCATCTAATTTACCTACTGTGGATTTTACTGCTCATTCTTGCAGCAAAAAAGCCTTTCGAGAATATCATTTTTAGAATCGGGATTGATATATGTTGTGTGTACAGTTGCTCTATTTGTCCTTGGAGCCCTCCGAGGTCAGCAAGACTGGAATTATGAGGAGAAACAGACCCAGAGAGACGGGAGTGTAAGAGCACTAAGAATTCCCATCTTGACTTTCTCTCTCAGGTGACACTGACATCTAGATCCAAAGCCAAAGATTCTGAGCAAAAGTTAGGCTCCCAGGCCCCCCAGTTTTTCCCTCCTCCTTTGTGTCTTCCCTCTCAGACAAAAGTGCAGAGTTTATGTGTCGCTCTCCTGAGCCACATCTAGTCCCCTCAGGCACTGGGCACACTGCATGTGTTCGGTAAATGTTTACAGTAGAGGAGAATAGAAACGAGGCCCTAAAATTGTTCTGCCATCACCCTAAATGTCTCCAACTCCAGGATGAGAAACAATACATTTACCATAGTTCAACGGGTCTGAGATTTCATTAGCTTTTTTTTTTTTTTTTGAGAGGTTTTTGCTACAGGGAGCGTGCACTTGCCAGGAAGTCAGAGAGAAAACAAGAAATGGAAAGTGAGAAATCACCCCCTGGAGGGGACGGCCATGCCGCAATCCTTTCTCTTCCATTTTCCTCTCAGGATCTTCGGCACACATGCACATGCACCCAGCATGAGTTTACGTCACCACGTCCGGGACTCGAACCACAGTCGACTACATGGGAGTCCAGCAACATAGCCATTACACCAACTTCTGGTCTCCGCATCAGCTTTGATGTACCACAAAGAGGGGTTGGCCCTGTAGCCTAGTGGTTTCATTGCCAGATTCCCACACGGTCTACTGCGGCTCAAATTCTGACCCCCAAGTTTGCATGAGCGCCTCAAACCCTCAGAGGATGAACAAATGGAGAAGGGATTGCAATGGAACCATGTCCCATTGGGGGGTGCTTCCCCACCCACCCCACCTCTTCATACACATACTTCTCACCTCCCTACCACACCCCCACACCCCGTCTCTGGTGAGCACATGTGCTCTCTGGCAATTAAAAATGGACTGTCAGAGTCAGCGGATAATATGGTGGTTAAAGTGCTGGACATGGTCAACCACAGTTCGAGTCCCAGATCTGGCAGCTTGAACATCACACCAGGTGCAAGTGCATGAGTGGCCAAAATCCAGAGAAGAGAATGGAGGAGAAGGGACTGCAGCATGGTCATCTCTCCTAGAGAGTGAGCTCTCATTTTCTCTTTCTCTGTGTCTCTCCAGCCAGCGCACACACCTTCTGGCAAAAAAACTAAAAGGGAAAGAAAACAAACATTAGTTAAACTATAACACAACGCTTCCTTTTGTGTCAATTTTAAGATGCGTTTTGAGTTCCTAGCTATTACGTGTGAAGAGACGTGCATTTTAGAGTGGACAAAGTGTAGTATATTTACCTGTTCCAAAATTCAGGCTTTCTCTTTCTGACCTGCATACATTAAATTACAAACTTCCACCTATCCTGGTTTTAGTCTCAGCTCCCGACGGTTATACATATTATGCAATTGCACTTTCATGTGGGTTGACAGGGGACATTAATTCTGTTTTTCTTATGGACACAGTAATACAAAGTACTTTTGTGCTTAGATATAACTTCTGGTATGCACAGATTGTACAATACTTCTCAGAGCCAAAATCATCATTAATTTCAGTCTGTTGTTTGTTACACGATTTAAAAGAGAAAGAAATGTGTAAAGGCATTTGGCACATCGATCGTGTTCTCTTTCTCCCGGGTAGTGCTTCTCGTTGTTTTTGTTGCTGTCGTTTTACTTAATGCTGGATTTGGCTGTTTTGTTATTGTTGTTCCGTTTATTCTTAGTTTGGGAAAAAGCAAATGAACTGCAACTTTCCCACCGCACAGAGAAGGAGGCGTGAGCAGGCTCATCTGGTGAGAGCTCATCGCCTGCCTGGGCTAAATAGGACGTGTTCATAAACGCAGGTGGGAGTTTGTAGTTCTTCTGGCAGAAAGGAGTGTGAGGAGCACAAGAAATAGAAATTTCTGTGCTTCTGTGACAATCTTTTGTACGTTTTTTTTAATGGACCAGCTCTTCTATTTAGAACATCCTTCCATTTAAAACGTCCTTGCTCATAAAATTCTAGTTTGAGATAAGAAAAACTCCGTCTGTCTTCAGCCTGTTCTTAGTTACCGTCCCACAGTCTTCCGCTCCCTCAGGATATTATTTATATACACTAGCAAAGGGAGTTGCGTACAAAACGTGTATTTCTAGGGATTAGACCGTGGCCCAGTGGGAAAGAATGATCCAAAGTGCTGTAGCTCTTGTTCGTGCTGCATTTTGGCACCGGGCTGCCTGGCTCCCTGCAGGGGTCGCAGGGCCCATTACTGTAATGACGGCATCGGCAGGCGCCGGCGGGGGGGGGGGGGGGGGGGGGGGGGAA